AGCAGTGAAAGGGTTAATATACCAAGCGTAAAGGCAAATCAGGTATTGAAAAAACAAACATCACCTGACAGTAGAAGATACCTGTATCTACAAAAGGCAACACATAAGAATTACTGGGGGAGCGGGCCTGAAATTATGTTACCAGTGTCAGATATACAACTAATGAGCAGAAAACCATGAGAGAGATGAGATGTCTTAGGACAGCTGCCAGAGTAAGTTGAGTAACCAGAGATATCAGGAGAACCAGGGCTGAAATCAGTCACACAATTCACTAGAGAGCAACTGTTGAACTGGTCTGGCCATCTGACGAGGCTGCCCTGCAACCAACTACCACATGCAGCCACACTGAAGAAATAAATGAACAGACAGTGGAAGACCATGTAAATGATGGAGCACCAGCATCAATAACAACCTCAAATAAATTATAATAAACTAACACAATGAACTAGAAAGAGCATAAAGACGATCTTAACATATCTCTCAACACTGAGCTGATTCAAATGGAGGAAGAGAAGAAATATCAGAATTAGCATGAATATGCACAGTAAATGTCGATGGATTGTAGAACTCAAATTATCATAATTATGCAGATCTGGAGTGATGAAACTTTTATCTGCTACGGTCCTTTTTGAAATTTGGAACCTTTTTAATATTAAGAACATCTTTTGTGGGTCATAAAAAAGTTGTAAACTTAAAAATCTGCTGTACATTAAATTGTGACTGCCATGGTTGAAGCCAGACAAAATTATTTCACAGGCTTTATATGGTCAAGAGACTGAATGCTCTCCTCCCTGCTGTAGACAAAGTAACGATAATGTAAACATATTTCAGTCACAATGTATCACTGGCACTACACATGCCACCAAGTGAGCACTTTATTTTTCATCATTCATTGGCACATTTCTGTATTTCCAGACGATAGTGTTATACTGCGCTATGCGGAGTCCTGAGACTCACAGCTCATGGCGATGGCGAGTGTGACTAGCAAGGCCCGCCTGTGTCAAGAAAAGTCTTCCACAATGATAGCATGGGATTTAAGGACCATTGTTGTCAACATTTGTGTTTAATCCGTTTCTCTTCAGATGCTCAGCTCTCATCCTTTCTGCAATCATTTCTTCCTTCAGTCTCATTCTGTTCCTGATATGCCCTTTCCACACAACACAGTCCATCGCATTTAGTTCCCATGAGTCTGCCTCAATACCTGTATCATTCATGTCCCGCTTGCACACATCTTTATAACGTAGTTCGGCCTCAACATCTTCTTCCTGTCTTTAATTCACCATAAAGAATGTCTATAGGGACCCTGCCATTATCCATGTGTGACCCAGCCACCTGAGCCCTCGTAGACTGAGCATGGAAAAGACTGTCGTAGTACCTGCTCTTTCCAGTACCTCAGTGTTTGTGATTTTGTCCAGCCACTTAATGCCAAGTATTCTACTTAGGCATCGCATATGAAAGCTATTAAGCCAAGAAAAGTACCCCAAATAGGTTGACCAAGTTTCACTGCCATAAAGCAGAGTGTGGTACAAATAGGTTGACCAAGTTTCACTGCCATAAAGCAGAGTGCTGAGAACACAAGCCTGATAGACAAGGGTTTTTTGTTTTAATTGTGAGCTTTCTGTTTCCCCAAACTCTCTTTGTCAATCTGCTCATTGTTGTGGCTGCCTTACCTACCCTGATTTCTGGGTCCAGCGATAGTTTACTATTCACTGTGGAACCCAGATAGGTAAAATGGTCTACTGTCTCAAGCTCTTCACCGTCAATGTGAACTGTAAGTCTGTCATTGACACCTTGCACCGTAACCTTTGTCTTCTTTCTGCTAACTGTTAGTCTAAATTCACAGCACGCATCAGCAAAGGCAGATAGTAAACATTGCAGCTCCTCCTCTGAGTGGGTGGTTATTGCGGCATCATCTGCAAACAGCAGCTCTCTGAAAGTACCTTTCTTATCCTGGTTTTGGTCTTCAGCCTGCGAGCATTATAAAGGCTGCCATCAGATCAAGAATGAATGAATATACCACCCTCCTGATCTCAAAAAGCATGTGTCAAAAGAAGTGAAAAGTATATTCCAAAGAGGGTAGGAGCAAGTACACACCCCTGCTTCACTCTATTTTTAATTTTTGATTTCATGGGTTTTCACATTTGAGCAAATGTTACTTCTATATTATAACAGTTAAATTTTAGTATTTATTTACAACAGTAAAGCTTTAAAACGCATTTCAGAAACATTAATACATTTAGCCTCTGTACAATAAAAGAACCACATACAGAAGTTAAAATGAAACAACAGCATTGTGTAAAATAAATCCTGACTACGTTGTGACAACATATTACCAATACCACTGAATATCAATCAACATATATCCTGATCCAGTGGTAAACATAACTTGGAGTCAGATATAGACAACTGTAGAGAGTGGGCATTTGTTTGCAGTGAATGACAGTGACAGCCATTGTAAATAAATTGCACACTTCACTTAAGAACGTAAGTTTAAAATGTGCAACTTATATTTAAAAGAGACAGACAGCGTAATGGTTGGGATAAAATCTCTAAATAAATCAAATATTAATACAGGTATAAACAAGTGCCTCTGCATATGAGACAACAAAAACCCAGTCTGCACATTTGTAATTACCAAAAAAAGGAAATTAACTTCATATATTTTTTTAAACCCATCCAGGCAGATACCAGCAATAATTAACGCCACAGTAACAGTTTAGTTAAAACTGCATTAAAGCCCAGTTGTTGGAATTCAAGGTATCTACATATTTTCTTTTTAAATTGAACTCGTAGGGACACTGATAATAAACAAGTGGTGTTTGTATTTTACTGTTGCGAATGCATATAATTATTTGGTTGCATGTTTCTGTTACTGTCTTTAATAGAAATGCTAGAGGGAAAGAGAGACAGAGGGAGACCAAGAGAGAAGATGCTGAGTAGTTGTTCTTTTTTCCATCATCTTATCATGATAGCAAGGAAGATCTATTTGTGTCAGAAATAAATGAAAGTAAACAAAACAGAAGACTGCAGAAAGACACGGCCACCAAAGCCATACAACATGGACTATATGAAAACCTTTTTATAACAGGGAAAGCTACATACATCTACAAAAACTTTTAAAAAGAAGTATTATAGTATAATAATACTATATGGGATATCATCTGCATATCTAAGTAATAGTATTCTTGTAGATTCTCCTATGGTACACTCTTGTTTCAATTTCCTTATAATTTTCTCTAGGGCCAAGGTAAAAAGAAGTCGGGACAGAGCATCACCTTGCTTTAAACCAGATGTTATCCAACTTTCTGCCTGAATATATTACTATATTACAAGTGTCTTCCATACATAGTTTGGTCATTGTAATTAATTAAGGCTCTCCTCCGAACTTCTACCCCCGCATTATGGCGGCCTGAAATATCCGTTCAGGGCTCAGTTCTATTAAAAATATGCCGGCTCCGTATAACGAAACAAATGCTCTAACAGGGTCTCAGCGATATGTTACTTGCGGACCTGTTTCTTATTGTTTCTGATTACCTGACAATTCTAAGAGACGCAACACTGCAGACGATAATAGCGACAGTTGACACTTTCCATTGTCGGACTTTCTGCCGATGAACAAATCGCAGCAAATCTAGAATCGGCTAAAAAAAAAAAAATAAAACAAATGCTCTAACAGGGTCTCAGCGATATGTTACTTGCAGACCTGTTTCTGTGACTATGCCTCACCCCCGACCGTATCTCCCACGCCGTTACACGCTAAACTAGATGGCTGGGACTCACGAGCAGCAGCTACTGTGTCTCCTGCAACTTCCTCCAATTACTTTGCTCGCGAGTCCCAGGCACCTAGTGTAGGCCCCCATCCGCGCCGCGCGCAGCAGCGTAGGGGATACGCTCGGCGGTGAGTTTAATCGCCTTTTGCGCATGCCGACAAGTCTGACATCTACCGCTGCTAAATTCTCAATCGGAAGAACAGTATTGCTAATCTGCGTGGGAGCGCGTGGTCTACCCGCCATATCGCTTTCATCGTCTGCAATGTCTCGAAATTGTCAACGATCGCTTTTATTGTCTGCTAGTATCGTCTCAGACATGCTCGACACTGTCACCGGCGGCTTTTATCGTCTGCAATGTTGAGTCTCTTGAAATTGTCAAGCAATCCTAGTTTTGCCGCGATTTGTTCCTTGGCAGAAAGTCCGCATTTTTCATTGGACTGAGCCCCGAACGGATATTTCAGGCCGCCATAATGTGGGGGTAGAAGTTCGGAGGAGAGCCTTAATTAACTTCTTTGGTATTCCAAAGAGCTGAAACTATCAAACTAGCTGTGACAAAAAAACTTTCAGTTTTTGCTCGCTTGTTCTTGTTGAAAAAAAAAACCAATAATTTATATTAAATCTAGGTCATGGGTAGATATTCAAGAATGTTTTTAAACATTCTAAGGTGTACAGCTGGACACTGTTGTCTGTACTAGTACTTTAACTAGTAGTGCACCGAAGTTCAGTGAAATCAGAAATTGTTGAGAAGTGGAAAATGCCACCAAATGCAAAATGGCACAAATATTACTCAAAATGCCTGAGCAACCGGTTTTTGAAATAGTAAATTGAAATTAAATTACAAAATTATACACAGCGACATATTTGTTATCGCGGTATATATATTGACTAACAGATACTTACTCACTAAAAACGGAAATAATTATAATATAATAAATAATATGGTTACCTTTTCACATCATCACTCCCCAATTGAGGACAACCAAAAACGCTGACTTAATTTTTATTTTAGAACAGAACACACAAAAGCGGATGCCGATTTATAAAACTATCGAGTTGGTTAAAAGTTTACCTTCAAATCATTATATACTATTTAAAAGTAACACAAATACGTAGATATTGTTTGTAAAACGAATATGTGTACATAAAATAAAAATATTTTACATGGAACTCCCCCGTTCGCGAAGTCGACGAAGATCAGTTTTGTCCTGTGATTTTTACGAAGAAACTCACCCCCAAAACCCACATGGACAGCGTGGCTGAGATTCACGGCTTGATTCTTCCATAAATGTATCTAATCAAGCACTTTATCATGTCTCAACGGGGAAATAAAAGCAGGCAAATATCGCACAAATAGAAATAAAATCGGTTGGGACTTCTATGGAATTGATGAAGGAGGATGACCAGCAACGGCAATTTTATCTGCCAGGATACTTAGCACGTATGTGCCAAATATGTACTCAGCTGCTGCACCCATCAAACTGTCTATAAAATTAGGCCAGCTCTTATTAAAGTAATGCAGTGCACGATAAATTTTAATGAAGTACAAAATGTTTATCTGTAAAAATAAAAATTTAAAATAGATGTTTTAGTTGCAAAACTAAAATGCAATAATTTATCGCGGATGGTATCTGGTATATCTTAAAACTTTTTCTCAGCAGTCATTAGTTTATAAAGAATGAATGTTTAGTTTATACTATACATAATGTCTATGTTTCTGAAGTTGCAATAAACTCTATTTTTAGAAGATTAATTGATTTCTGTGGCTTTTGTGGGTTTTTGTGATAAATTATAATTTAATAAAAGTGAAAATTCACACTGGCAAACATTAGTAGTTGGTTACGATCAGAACGAGGCCGAACTTCCATTTCCAGGTCAAACAAGAAAAAAAAATATTAGGGGAGAGAGGGGTGGGAGGTGATTGCTAGGTACAATCATTTATCGCTGTTCTTTCAAGTACTTTTTCAAATGACCAAATTCCGTGTCACCATTGTCCTGCACCCAAAGACAGAACCGTCCGTTTAAACAACGGAAACGAAATGATAGTACTATGCACAAATATTTCAAGTAGGCAGGATAATAAGGACGCGTCTATTTTGTGGGGCAGATAGGGTTGGGGAGGGAAAGGGAGTGTAAACAAGAGTGATGGCGCCTGCCTGAAAGCTCATGACTAGGAAAAGGGGTCTGCAACACGAACAGCTGTAGCTGGCAAGAAATCACCTCTCTAGTAAAACCAAAAATAAAAAACAGGCCAACTGCTCAACAATTTCAGGAGGACAAATAAAAGGAACAGTTACAGAGCCGCTTTGAGCAGAAAAATTGGTATGGCATCAAAACAATAAACCATTTCCCTGTACAGTGCAGCTAACAAATTATATTGTAACTCACACAGCGTGTTAATTAATTATCTAGGTCGAAATATGACAGTACAATCCCACATTGCCGGAAAAGAGGGAATATCGACATGGTACAGGTGGACTAAGACACACAATAGCCGATCGGGTGTTTTCAGTAAGCAAAAACTTTGTGTTGGTAGTGTGGCGGGCCCCCCCCCCCCCCTTTTTCCTGAAAAACAAGGAACTTTCTTCTTCTTCTTCGCAAACAATAGCTGTAAACTCTGGCGAACTTTAAATTTAAACGTCCTTGAAAGACTGGCGCCTCGGTATCACCGTAATGGAAATTGGCTCTGTCGAGTACCGACTGCAGACTGTGCTAATCACGCCTAATGCATTATAATAATCTGTTCGTGTGCTCTACAAATATAGATACATACCCCCAGATTGTCGGCTCTGTGGCTAAGTCGATGCGAACGCTTCGTAATGCCGGAGTACCGGGTTCGATCCCAGCTGCGGGCCATACGCCTTGCCTTGGTTTCGACAGTGGTATCAAGAAAGCCGACCGTCCAGTAGCAATGACAAACTACTGGACGTAAATTTGCCTAGAGAAACCACACAACAGCCAGGGGCTGTTTGGGTTGGTTCTGCGACGTCCTGAAAAGGATACGCAACAACCTTTACCCCCATATCCTCGAAACATGGAAGAGGGGGGGGGGGGTGATAAATGATCTTTTGAAGCTACTATTGTTTTCGACCCCGCCAGTCCCCTGGTTTTTGCCCAATGACCAGGTTGGTTATGTATATACTGGAATTTCGCAGGGCAGTTTAAAAACCCACGCAGGAAGAAGCTTGATTCTGAAGAGGCTTTATTGCGTGGTCGCATGCTACAAAATGCATTTCAAGCCACAAGTCTGTCTATCTAGAAGGTAAGGTCGTGACAACCAGATTCACGGTAGCAAGCAAAACGATCCTCTCGAATCAGTAAACAATCGGGTTTACGATTCTAACACCGCCTATCTATTGAAACGTACCGCTACCATGAAATCAGTGAACTCAGTCCGCTAAACCCACGTAGGGCAGTTTTTTGCCTGGGGCGGCTCTCGAACGGGTAAGGGTGGGAGTGAATTGGGTGGTGGTTCATCATGCCTGGGGTCTCGAGCTGGTTAGTTGGGCTGTCATGGCGGCTTGGGGGAATTTCCTTAGTTGGCTTGTTTCTTGTTGTTTGTGGGTTACCGCGCGGCTGTTTACTTCGCTTCGTGGGCTCCATTTCCTTGTGAGTGGGTAGGTTTTTTTTTTTTTTTTTTGATGTTGTCTAGTTGTAGTTATCGGGTAGCTTCCTTGAGATGCCTGACTTCTTTGAACATTACTCCAAAGTTGTCATTCATGCCTTCCTTGACATCTTTCAACTCCTGCTTGAGGTTTTTATCGTCCTCGCTCTCCTTTGCTTCGATGGTCTGAAGTTGTTGTCTTCTTGTCGCTTCCTTTCTTGCGTTCTCTCTTGTTTCCATCACTTTATTGGATGCTAGCAAAATCCATCCGTAATTGTGTGTTTTCCTCAGTGGCTTTAGATATTTTCTCTACTGTGGATGTCAGCGTTTTCTTGATTGAGTCGACTTCTGATAAGAGTGAGGTAATTGGGTATGGTCTCCTCTTTGTTGGTGACTACTGCGTTTTGCTTCTTCTGTATCTTGGTTTCTGTTAGCAGGGCCATTACGCTTGACTTGAAGTGTGTTATGTCTGTAACCTCCACTTTCAGTCGCTTCTGGGTTTCTAGTAATTCTTGCAGGATGCCTCGGAGGGTCGTCATCTCGTCCCTTTCTTCGGCTTGCTTACGATCAGTCGCTGCTTTCTCTTTCTTGAGGGCCTCGATCTTGGTTTTCATCAATACTAACTCGCTCCGGAGCTTTACTAGGTCTGTAGAAGCGACTCTTGTGTCTTCCTGACTTTTGGTTGTGTTGGGCGCCTCGTACCTCTTTCTTGCCGCTGGGTGAGGGGTTACTCTGCTGGTGGCGGCAGTTGTCAGTGCTCTCCTGCACTCCTTTAGATACGGGCAACCCAGGTATCTCGCGCTGTGCGCTCCTGAGCAGTTGGAGCACCTCCGGCTATCGTTGGGGTTTCCCGAAATCAGGGTCCACTTTTGCCAGGGGGCACTTCTTGAAATCGTGCGGCTTGGAGCAGTAACGATGGGCTGCTGCGGCAGGTTGCGGCGGTGTGTCACGCCTTATTACAGCGTGAGCACTGTAAAACTTCTGGAATGTAGACTCCCGGTTGCTGCTGCTTCTTGTGTAGGCGGGTGTTGGTGGGTCCCTGCGCTACGACTGGGGTGGCTTCTAAGTGTGCTACATCCAGGGCTGGCAGAGTCTGTGTGGGCAAGGCTGACGTCTCGATCGGGGCGTCTATCGGTGCTGGCATCGTCTGCACTGTTTGGGCTGGTGCGACGACAGGTGCATAATCCTTGTTAGCCGGCGTCGATCGGGTATCTCTGCACTGGCTCTGATTCTGCTGGCAGTTTTTACCGCGGCCACGTCCCATAGTCAAAAATCTGGCTTGAACAAATCAAGTTTACTTATTTACCACAACTTCAAAGGGCCCGAAATCCTTAGAAGGAAAATCGAGTTATTGGGCTGTGGTAATCTTGTGGCTTTAAAACGTGCTGAAACTACGGGCTGCTAATAACCAAACGCAGCCGACCAAGATAGCTAGTCAAGACTGACTCAGCCGAATATCAAGCGAATCGGTGTCAAGTATCTAGCTATCGAGAGTCGAACTACGAATGGAGAGTTAGCGGGCGACGAGACGTGCTTATGACGGTGATTGTGCTTTGTGTGCTCACCTGATTGCCGTGTCGTATGGTATGGGTGATGTGTCATGAGTCTTCTGGCGCTATACAAAGCCTTTTATAATCTTTACGAACGTGTTAAATTTATTTCGTAAGTGCAGCCAAACCAAAATTATTAACAGGCTAAAGTGAGTTGTACCCTGTTACAGAAGAGTTTAAAGTCGGCAAGGCCAAACTCGCTATGAGGTTGCGCGTTTTTGCAGACCAGTCATGGGTTACACTTAAACCGGCCGACGCGGCTTCGGCCAGGGAAATGTCTCATAGTGGTCTAAGGCCTACTCAAGAAAGCATAGAGATATGATGACACAGCAGTTCATAAACGTCGAGAAGGGGATGCGGCTCCAGAAAGTAACTCAGCAGTCTCAGCAAGGCCAGTAGCTCGGCATTGAGGGTGTCATGCCACATGAACTCTCCTGGAACGAAATTTTGCGTATGGCTCCAGAGCCACTGAGCTTTCTTATTCGATCTGCATACTACATGTTATCCTCAGGCGCTAACTTGACAAAATGGGACCAAAGATCTGTCATGCTCCTTGTGTAAAGCCAAGCAGAAGCTCAAACACGCAGGGTACGCGTTTAGGCAAGCCTTAGGTCAGGGGTGGTTCAAATGGCGCCCCAAGAGTCTTGAAAGATTTGGCAGGACTAGCAGCTGGCGGTAGACCTAAATGGCCAAGAAAAGTACCCCAAAGAAACTGGCAGACTGGGCTGAGCCAAGACATGGTGCTGCAATCGGTGGCAGAGCGTTAGGTTATACTGATGGAGCTGAGCGTGCCATATGAGTTGTGAATTGAAGATCAACACATGTACCAGCTCGAGAAGTACAGTCATCTGGTAGATAGTCTGAGGAGTGATGAAGGGTACGCAGTAAGATTCTTCGCCGTCGAGGTGGGCGAAAGAGCGCTATTAAGCAACTCCAAGGACATCGTCGTGAAGTAGGTGGGCTTGCGAGAAAACGAGCGTAAACGGGCACTGATGCAGCTGAAAAAATCCGATTCGAGCTGGCTATGGAGAGACCAAAATGACACCCAGTAATCTCGACAGATTGATCTGAATAGCTAGTGGAAAAGAACTTAAAATTCGCATAAAGCCAAAGCTGTCCGATTATCGTCTACCAGTTTAACTGCCGCTAAAGTGAGTCCGATAAACGTCTGTTAGATGAATTAATCATCAACTTGTGATAAGACTCGTGTAGGTAGGTGATCGATTTGAGTTTGATCTTAGCTGTGTTTCTCATGAAAGACAGGGTTGGCTGCTCTTTCATTACACTACAAGGAAAGAAAGAGTCATATGCAACTCTCAGATCTACACTTAGTGTCTTCCAGTTATTGCTGGACCGAAGGCATTATGACTGGCTACAGGTATTATAACTGTTGGTGTTTAATGAAAAATTATGTATAGTTGAACAGTCACCACCGAAAACCAGTTCTATGATTTACGGCTACCCGGCGTAATTAAACAAAAATGTAATTCATGTTAATAATTACCACACATAAAAAACATCAAATTTATAAAAATTAATCTTTAGACCATTTTCTCTGTCGTTCTCAGTTTATGAAGGGTACGCAATCCAATCCAATCCAATCCAGTCCATTTGCAAAACAAAAATAATAATTTGATTGCGTTCAAGCGTTCAAGCTCCCTGAAGCATTTGCTCACATTGGCGACCTTTATTGTGTAGAACTTTTTCAAATAATGCTATCTTCCTCCAATCCACCCTGCAGCCGCCATTGCGCGGGTTTTGACTGGTTTATGCCTTCTTCTATTGTCCATGCTGTTATTTTCTCTCCATTTGATACAATCTTGATACTTGGTGACTATCAATCAATCAATCAATCATTTAAGGTTGACCACTTTCAGCTGGGGTCATAAAACATTGCTCTCCTCCTAACTTCTACCCGATATAATGGCGGCAAAGCAAATAACCTAAAAGGGCCTCAGCCGTGTAAAATGAGGACTTTCTGCCAAGGAATAAATCGCGGCAAAACTAAGACCGGCCCCGAATAACGAAACAAATGCTCTAAAAGGGTCTCAGCGATATGTTAATTGCTGACCTGTTTCTGGATCTATGCCGCACGGCCGTCAGTTCCCCCGCGCCGTTACGCTGGGATGGCTGGGACTCACGAACAGCAGCTACCGCAACTCCTGCAACTTCCTCTAATTTATTTGCTCGTGAGTACTAGGCATCTAGTTTAGATCCCCATCCGCGCCGCGCGTAGCGGCGCGGAAGATACTGTCGGCGGTGAGTTAAACCGCGTTTTGCGCATGCCGAAAAGTGTGAGGACAACAACGACGCTAATCTGCGTCGGAGCGCGTGATCTCCCCGCCATGTCTGTAATGTTGCGTGTCTAGAAGTTGTCAATGGTCGCTATTATCGTCTGCTAGTATCGTCTGCAGAAACGCTTGAAATTGTCAATGGTCCCTATTATCGTTTGGTACTATCGTCTGCAGTGTTGCGTCTCTTGAAATTGTCAAGTAATCCTAGTTTTGCCGCGATGTGTTCCTTGACAGAAAGTCCGTATTTTACAAACGACTGAGGCCCTGTTAGCTAATTGCTTGGCCGCCATAATATCAGGCAGAAGTTCAGAGGAGAGCCAACACATTTATCTTATGTTGGCTTTTTGTCCATCCTTTTATTTATGTTTTTGTTATGAGACAATATTCGACACTTCATTTCTTTCCAGACCTACAAGGCAACCCCATCCATCTCTGACTGTTTATTCTTTTCCAGTTATAACGTATCTATTGACAAATATCAGTGTGTTGCTTGTAACACCACTGGTGACACGCCTTTAGAAGACTAAATCCATTACAAACACAATTGCTTATTGTAACAACGGAAGTCATTGCAAGTGCTCTGACCCAGATACATCCGGAAATGAGAGGCACTCATGCAGTCAAACGATATGTGCCAGAAAAGTCAGTGCGGACTATAGTCGCAGCTTTGATGAAACTAAGAGATTAATTACATTAGCAATGGAACAATAAATATATGTAAATATCTGTTTCCATGGCAAACAACTGCACAGACAAGTTACCGCCTATCAAGTTGCCCAGCTGGCTTTCTGAGAAATGGGTGATGAGCATGTGGATAGGAAGCTTCAGTATTTTAGTGATACTTTCGTGTTTCATCTTTATCCCAGTGGCTATTACAATGGTGAGCATTCGATAGTTTAATCTGTGTAGTAGTTTGGCAGCTTTATGTTATTCAAGTTGCTAATGTATTATCCGATGCCAGGGTGTCTTGTTGTAACCTTTACTGTTACAATGCACACTGACATAGTGTCTGTCGTCTTATGTTTAGAGTTGTTTTAACTATAATTGGGGATCGCGAGAGGGCAGTTATTGTAATGCTGGCTTGCTCTTTGGTTTGGGATTTTGAAACTCATTTAAATTCCTAAGTCGGTCCAGTTTTTAAAATGGGTGCTAGAAACTTTTTTTATTCTGTGCATTAAAGGCGGCTGACCTAATATTAGCCACATCACCTACTGAGGACTGTTTGGTCTACATGTGTATAGTAAGTACACCGAGTAACTAGTTCAGTTAGCATCAGCTGAGAGTCTTGACAACACTCAAAGCGCAAAGAAGGGATTTCAGGGCCCGTGGGGGTGGGGGGGGGTGGGTGGTTGGCTACAGACATATTTAATCAAATTGCTACTGTCATTATAAGAGGCGGATTTGTTAACTGAATGATTGGATTATTCATTCATTCATTCATTCATTCATTCATTCATTCATTCATTCATTCATTCATTCATTCATTCATTCATTCATTCATTCATTCATTCATTCATTCATTCATTCATTTATTCATTCATTCATTCATTCAGTGGGAAAGCTAGAAGTCATTCTCCTTCAATGAAATTACGAGCTTCCTTGTTTATATAAACAGCAATGCCCGTATTGATTATAATAATAAAAAAATAAAAAAACCGGCTACTTTTCAGGGGTGATTAGGAGCTCCTAGACATTCGGACCTATGACTTTTTATACAGCAGAAATGAAAAACTATGACAAAAGGCCGGGTGCCATGTCATAGTGTTAGGGGCTTGTGGATCAGTGCAAATTTAAGTTGTCGTGTTAGCTAGTTATATGAGGAGTTTTAGGGGTCATTAAGGGTCATCCGGGCCTCCTGGGCATAGGGTGCTATACCTTTATATAGCGTAAAAATAAAAAATAAAAATAAAAAAATAAATTTTTTAGAAAGTCGATTTCTAACAAATTTATAATCTCTTGTCAACATGTGGGACCCCTTTAATTTACTGTTTTGAACCGCTTAATTAGCTCAGTGCACCTTTCAGACGGTTCACCAAAGTGTCTTGATAAGTCGGACACTATTTTTGGGACACCTTTAAATCGCTCAATCTACTTCTCAATTTGATCATTAGTCTTGTAAGTTGTTCACTGAGGTTCTTGGTAAGTTAACCACTATCCTCGAGACACTACAATTCACTCACTGTCTTCTCCTTTTTGGGACACTCTTAAATCACTCAAGGTAATTTTCAAGTTGTTTGCTGAAGGCTCGTTGGTAGGTCGACTACTATTTGTTGGACACCTTAAGTGGCTCGATGCCTTGCTCCTAGATTTTTATGTTGTCTAGTGTGTCCTTATATCTTTCTACTTCTTGTTATGAGTGCCGATCAATAAATTGTCTGTTTGTATGTATAAATCTTCGACAGACCGACACAGACGGCAACTGTTTACTGTATGCTGACTCCCGAGAATTCGGCGCCCTGTCTGTGTGCTCATATTGTGTTGCAATAGCCGTGATCTTCCTGAGTGTCTGCTGTCTGCGGCTGACCTTGCTGATTCTGAAGCTGACTCGGTTTTCATCAAAGATAGAAGAAGCTGCCTTGTACGTAGATATGTTATTGTCTCAATGTTGTCTGTGTGTTTACGCAGAATTGCTACATTTCATTGTTGTTAATTTATTACGAGAGCAGGGAGCTGTGCTGAATTACCTTGTCTGAAAGAGTGGACATTGTTTTAAAAAAATATTGAAGGGTTAGCTATAGAAGTCAGCTACCGTCCAGATTTTTTTGAAAAAGTCCTTGGTAAAAACGAAAACAGTTGACCAGATACATTTTCTAGCAGAGACAGTTGTGTATAAATTGTGAAAATAGCTGACAAACAACACGTTCTCGCATGTCTATAAACACACTCATAATATGCATCGCTTGACAAATAACTGACAAACAATAGGTTATTTCCCGCTCAATAGATTATTAGTGAATAAATTGTGAAAATGTTGACTCACGTTATGGAGCAGAAACCGCAATGAGGCATGTCAGCCATCGACGTGGTTTGCGATGTGCGATGTTATGGCCACCTGATATACAGGAAACCAACTCAGCCCACAAAAAGATTGTCCTGAGACAAAGCCCCATTAGTGTGGACTATTCACCTTAACCCTATAGTAACCAGCAGAACAGAAAGGAAAGACCACACCAGATCTACTGTTAAATAAGCTGTACAATTGTTTTACAGTTAATTTCACACAGAACAATTCTTTCGAAGTCGAAACGCATTTTCCTGATATGCAAGGAACCAACAGTCTGCAAACAAAAAAGCTAGATCTGTAAAATTGATATGCGCACAAAACTAAAGTTCTGCAACAAGACCAAAGCCCATCTGTGGACGAATAACCAAAACTTTCCGCCAGAGTTTACAGCTATCGGTGAATGTAAGAAGAAGTTTTTACCACTGCTGAACAAATCAGCACATCCTTCTTCTCAGTCTTTCGTCTGTCATCATCCAAGTAAGCAAAGGCTGCACACCAACTGACACCAGGTTGTTTGTAGATTTCTCAATCTTTCGTCTGTCATCATCCAAGTGAGCAAAGGCTGCACACTAACTGACACCAGGTTGTTTGTAGATTTTTCAATCTTTCGTCTGTCATCATCCAAGTGAGCAAAGGCTGCACACCAACTGACACCAGGTTGTTTGTAGATTTCTCAATCTTTCGTCTGTCATCATCCAAGTGAGCAAAGGCTGCACACCAACTGACACCAGGTTGTTTGTAGATTTCTTAATCTTTCGGCTGTCATCATCCAAGTGAGCAAAGGCTGCACACCAACTGACACCAGGTTGTTTGTAGATTTCTTAATCTTTCGGCTGTCATCATCCAAGTGAGCAAAGACTGCACACTAACTGACACCAGGTTGTTTGTAGATTTCTCAATCTTTCGGCTGTCATCATCCAAGTGAGCAAAGGCTGCACACCAACTGACACCAGGTTGTTTGTAGATTTCTTAATCTTTCGGCTGTCACCATCCAAGTGAGCAAAGGCTGCACACCAACTGACACCAGGTTGTTTGTAGATTTCTCAATCTTTCGTCTGTCATCATCCAAGTGAGCAAAGACTGCACACCAACTGACACCAGGTTGTTTGTAGATTTCTTAATCTTTCGTCTGTCATCATCCAAGTGAGCAAAGACTGCACACTAACTGACACCAGGTTGTTTGTAGATTTCTCAATCTTTCGTCTGTCATCATCCAAGTGAGCAAAGACTGCACACTAACTGACACCAGGTTGTTTGTAGATTTCTCAATCTTTCGTCTGTCATCATCCAAGTGAGCAAAGGCTGCACACTAACTGACACCAGGTTGTTTGTAGATTTCTCAATCTTTCGTCTGTCATCATCCAAGTGAGCAAAGACTGCACACTAACTGACACCAGGTTGTTTGTAGATTTCTTAATCTTTCGTCTGTCATCATCCAAGTGAGCAAAGGCTGCACACCAACTGACACCAGGTTGTTTGTAGATTTCTTAATCTTTCGTCTGTCATCATCCAAGTGAGCAAAGACTGCACACCAACTGACACCAGGTTGTTTGTAGATTTCTCAATCTTTCGGCTGTCATCATCCAAGTGAGCAAAGGCGGCACACCAACTGACACCAGGTTGTTTGCAGATTTGTTTACCTATATAAATACCGATAATATAACAAAAAAATTTGTATAGCATACCCGAATACAACCATCTATTAAATATTTTACAAACTGGCACCTATCGATAATTATATATTATAGTATAATATAATATCATGCACCTGTCTAGGGAATGTCTGCCTCACTTGTGAATAATCCACTAAAAGTTGAAACAGATTAAAAAGCAGGTCGAGAGCAAATAAATAACTTTTCCTCATGGTATGTTCAGAACTGCTTAGAAAGTATTTGGTAATTAAAATCCATCCTAGATTTCACTCAACCTAAAACATGTAACATTTTGAATGCCATAAATTTCCTGGCAACCTGCAAGCGAGTTAAAGTAACAATGTTGATATCCTGCATGTTTCCCTTGGTCATACGGTCTTACTCAATCATTGACGAACAAATTCAAATTCTACAGGTCAAGCGGGAAAAACACCGACATCTTACATGATTTAAGCAACTAGAAGCATTGGCTCATAAACAGAATCCTGTCCTAAAAGCTGAGCTATTTTGACCATGTTAAACTTAATGCTGGCCTGGAGAGAGCGATATCCTTCTCCACAGGACACCTTAAGTCACTCAAGAGATAGCTGATAGGGCAGGGAAATTGGCTGCAGAAAGGGAGACGCGTCGTGAGCAGAGCGATTTTCAGAGAAGGACCTACCAATCGATGATGTTACCATGGACCAAACTAGAAGAAAAACAATGAATTCTACAAAATATGAACATCGAAGAAAATTGTCTGATAAACAGCATCCTGTCTCAGAAATACTTTGATCACATCCAACGCTGCTGAGAAAGAATAGCAATGAACATGTTATTCCTTAAGACGCAGATGCCGACCAGTGTCAAGGTACACACATGATGTTGAAGACATGTTTGACATGTAAAATACGTGAGCTGTGGGAATTAGCAAGGAGCTTTGATGTTGCCTGGCAGGAAAATGTGTGAACTGCATTTTGCACACAGGACTTGCTATATGATAATGAGTCATCAGCCCGTCATCAGTTGCTATGGTAATGGCTGGTTACCTGGTGAATCTTCTGGAGTATCGAATTTTAACTCTTTTAAGTTCGATGTATTCACTTTTAGGCGGAGTGAATCTAGAAAATGGCTTGCATTTATCGAATGAAGCTGGTATAGAGACTCTCCTCCTGCCTGGGTACTAAAGTAGCACCGCCACAGACGCCGTGTTTCGGAACTCTTCTATCCTCCAGTAAGCGCACAAATCAGCAGCATATACAGTGCTGGTAATGGAGCTGCATTGATGCAGTCTGCCTCGTTACGATTTCTTCAGTTGAGCAAAATACATTCACGCTGGCTGTTATGGCGGCCATGTTTGCTACATGGTCCTTAGATATGTCATAAACTTTAGACCCAACCCATTGTTTGAAGGAACTTTCATGAAACGAGGCCGCGCATTTTTTATAAGAATCCGACAATGACACAGAAACAGGCAGATTTAGATAAATAAATGAAAGAAGCGACTGCGTAGTCGTAATAGTAGATTTTACCCCACCAGGAAATCACACAAGCGATAAACACCAGATGACCTAAAGTGCCACCATGTGGATGGGAATCACCTGTGGAGAGGTCCCGGAAACCGCGTTCAGCCAGTAGGCCACATTTATGGTCGGGTTATGTTGTGACCAGAGTGGGGCTTAAAATTACTAAACGTAAATATGACATATAAGGACATGACACGATACAACATGCACGAATGTTTGAATGAATGAATAAATGATATGTTGACATGATTGACTCCCCAGGTGGTTCAGTATTTGGGGCGTGCACATTGCCATCTTTGGCTTAGATTTATTGTTGGTGCTACTGTTGCTGGTGAGCTCATGCCTTCTGTCTGCAGGCTTGTCTAGGATGTGCGAGGATCTCTTTAAAGGGAGAACACTGTAAGTTATTTGTATCTGTCTCCATTAAGCACACACTGTTCTTTCATGTCTTGTTCGCATATATTGTACATTCTGGAAATGGTATAATTATTTTGCAGTAGGTATTATAAATCTTAAGTTATCTATCCTCCCCTTGTGGAATGCTATTTTTCGATATTTGAAGCCTTACTCTGGCTCTTGCCAAGGGCCGCAATATAGCCTGGCCATAAATATAGTCTAATGGCTGAACGCGGTTTCTGGGACCTCTGCACGGGTAATCCTTATCCACATGCTAGCACTTTGTGTCATCGGGTGTTTATCGCTTGTGTGATGTCCCAGTGGGGTAAAAGAAGATAGAGATAGATAGATTATAATTCTTGTATCAACTATTCTAAAAGAAACATGGCATTATAATATGAAAATGCTGAACATGTCAGTCAAGTTCTGCCCCGTCATTTTACCATAAAGTAAGTAAATTTTTACCCCACCAGGACATCAGGCAGAGCAATAAATATTAGGGCTGTACCGAATAGTGATTTTCACTATTCGGCCGAATACGAATAGCTAGACCAACTATTCGGCCGAATACGAATACGAATAGTGAATCATCAGGTGCTTTGCCGACTGGCATGGGCGATTATGCCTCGCCACAATCTGCAATCTCCTGCAGCATGCATTAGGTCGTGTGCTGATACACCTCCACGCCATGCAACAAGACTGTCAAGAATCTTCTCTCGTGTCTTCCTCTATCTCTCCTTCCACGTATCTTTCCAGTGGTCACCACTTGTTCCATCTTTCCTCATCTTACAACATGGCCGAAAAATGATGACTGTCTCCTTCTGATGTCTGTGAGTATTCGGGCTCCCGCTTCTTTCAAAACCTCTTGGTTACCTTTTTTTTTTCTTTTTTCTTTCCAAGGTATTTTAAGCATTGTTCTGTAAAACCACATCTCTGAGGCCTCAAAAGATTGTTTGGTCTGCCATCCGATTGTCCAGGATTCACAGCCATATGTTAAAACTGGATATATGTAGCAAGCAAGAATTCTTTTTCTTACCTTCAATGACAAAGATATATTGCATACGATGTTCTTCATTTTATAAAATGCAGCTTTTGCTTGTCCTATTCTGTTTCTTATTTCAGTAATGCATCTTTCTTCTGAAAATATCCATGTGCCCAGATACTTAATTTTCTGCACTTGTCCGAAAATAAAACAATTGACTTTTGTTACACATTTAGGAATAATTATTGTCTTTGATACCGCCATTACTTCTGTCTTCCCACTATTCAAACTGAGGCCCATTCGTCCACTTTCGTGAATAAAATAGATCTTAGAAAAAACATTCATAATGTCAATTGTATGCTGAAATTTTATTTCGCAAAATGTAGTCCAGAATAGTAAATATTTAAAAACATTTCATGTTTTGCATCCTTCAGTCAGTCAGTCTGTGGTAACTAATACCTAGGAATGAAAGTATTCTTAGTTTTAAAACAAGTAACTAAACTTGTAAATTGTCACTGACAGCTTAGTTAATCCATGTAAGCGGCATTAGCTTTCGAAAAAAAAAAATCGTTCCATGTTTTCAGCATTAAGGCAGCTTCTTGTCTCACTAAAGGTACTTCCAGCTGTACTAAATAGACTTTTACTTGGTACGCTCGTAGTTGGTGCACAAAGATAACGCTTGACAGTATAAACCAAGGTATGAAATCTTGACATGTTTATTTGCCACCAGTCCAGAAACGGGTGTAAGGTAACCACTATTCCTATTCGGCCCGACCGCAACTATTCGGCCGAATACCGAATAGTTATTAGGTCCACTATTCGGCCCCGAAGTGAATACGAAGCGAATATTCAGTACAGCCCTAATAAATACCAGGTGACATAGCCTGCCACCATGCGGATAAAGACCACACGTGGAGAGGTCCTGGAAACCCCATTCAACCAGTATGTTGTATTAGGGCTCCCAGCAGCAACCAGGGTGGAGCTTCAAAATAACGAAAAATTCCATTCAACCAGGGGACAACTTTTAGCATTTACCAGAAAACAACTGTAACCGATTTTAAAAAGTATGCGTTTGTTCACGTCTTCTGTCACTGTTGTCATTGGCAACCAAGATTTCTTGTTACAGACAGCTTACAGGTGAATCAAGGTGTACATAAACTGCGCCAGTGAGTGGTAGAAAACAAGAGAAACCTTTTTATTATTAAATAAAACAAAAATTTTTCCTTTTAACTTGAAAGCACAAATTAAAAGAAATAAAAGATGTTTACACCATAACATAACTGTTTTATTTGGAGTATAATATCACAGGCTAGAACTGAAAGTGCATAGAACGTACATCATGGCAAAAAAGTGCTGGAGATCAAAAGGGTTGACATTTGTGGTTAACATTTGTTGCCTATATGACAAGTGATCTGAAAACCGAAATTCTTGTAAGCCTAGGTGGAATAATACTAATGACAGCTGTGTAGTCAACTCTGCTAGGTGACAGAAGAGCAACAGTCACCTCAACCACCGATAGTTAACATCTAGAGATCACAGCTTCAACAACAATTTACGCGTCACTGAAAACTCAAGCACAGCTATCACAGCTATCAGCTGAAGTATGAAGGACTGGACAGTATTTTCTCCATTTCCCCATTGGATTTAGGGGCACACAAGGGAACGAATTGGTGCGATCGTTTCCCTTTGACCTGATGTGTTTGGAGGAAAAGTGGGTTATCTGTAATTTATTCTGTTGGATTGTAAGCCAAGAGAACACTCACTGAAACACAGAGGAGTTCAAACCTTTACATACAAGCCAGGAGACCACTCATTGAGACACAGAGGAGTTCAAACCTTTACATACAAGCCAGGAGTCAACTCACTGAGGCACAGAGGAGTCCAAACCTTTACATACAAGCCAGGAGACAACTCACTGAGACACAGAGGAGTTCAAACCTTTACATACAAGCCAGGAGACAACTTACTGAGACACAGAGGAGTTCAAACCTTTACATACAAGCCAGGAGACAACTCACTGAGACACAGAGGAGTTCAAACCTTTACATACAAGCCAGGAGACAACTCATTGAGACACAGAGGAGTTCAAACCTTTACATACAAGCCAGGAGACCACCCATTGAGACACAGAGGAGTTCAAACCTTTACATACAAGCCATGAGACCACTCATCGAGACACAAAGAAGTTCAAACCTTTACATACAAGCCAGGAGACAACTCACTGAGGCACAGAGTTCAAACCTTTACATACAAGCCAGGAGACCACTCATCGAGACACAAAGAAGTTCAAACCTTTACATACAAGCCAGGAGACAACTCACTGAGGCACAGAGTTCAAACCTTTACATACAAGCCAGGAGACAACTCATTGAGACACAGAGAAGTTCAAACCTTTACATACAAGCCAGGAGACAACTCACTAAGGCACAGAGTTCAAACCTTTACATACAAGCCAGGAGACCACCCATTGAGACACAGAGAAGTTCAAACCTTTACATACAAGCCAGGAAACAACTCACTGAGACACAGAGGAGTTCAAACCTTTACATACAAGCCAGGAGACCACTCACTGAGACACAGAGGAGTTCAAACCTTTACATACAAGCCAGGAAACAACTCACTGAGGCACAGAGGAGTTCAAACCTTTACATACAAGCCAGGAAACAACTCACTGAGGCACAGAGAAGTTCAAACCTTTAGATACAAGCCAGGAGACAACTCACTGAGACACAGAGGAGTTCAAACCTTTACATACAAGCCAGAAGACCACTCACTGAGGCACAGAGTTCAAACCTTTACATACAAGCCAGGAGACAACTCACTGAGACACAGAGAAGTTCAAACCTTTACATACAAGCCAGGAGACAACTCACTGAGACACAGAGGAGTTCAAACCTTTACATACAAGCCAGTAGACCACTCACTGAGACACAGAGGAGTTCAAACCTTTACATACAAGCCAGGAGACAACTCATTGAGACACAGAGAAGTTCAAACCTTTACATACAAGCCAGGAAACAACTCACTGAGACACAGAGGAGTTCAAACCTTTACATACAAGCCAGGAGACCACCCATTGAGACACAGAGAAGTTCAAACCTTTACATACAAGCCAGGAAACAACTCACTGAGACACAGAGGAGTTCAAACCTTTACATACAAGCCAGGAGACCACTCACTGAGACACAGAGGAGTTCAAACCTTTACATACAAGCCAGGAAACAACTCACTGAGGCACAGAGGAGTTCAAACCTTTACATACAAGCCAGGAAACAACTCACTGAGGCACAGAGAAGTTCAAACCTTTAGATACAAGCCAGGAGACAACTCACTGAGACACAGAGGAGTTCAAACCTTTACATACAAGCCAGAAGACCACTCACTGAGGCACAGAGTTCAAACCTTTACATACAAGCCAGGAGACAACTCACTGAGACACAGAGAAGTTCAAACCTTTACATACAAGCCAGGAGACAACTCACTGAGACACAGAGGAGTTCAAACCTTTACATACAAGCCAGGAGACAACTCACTGAGACACAGAGGAGTTCAAACCTTTACATACAAGCCAGGAGACAACTCATTGAGACACAGAGGAGTTCAAACCTTTACATACAAGCCAGGAGACAACTCACTGAGACACAGAGTTCAAACCTTTACATACAAGCCAGGAAACAACTCACTGAGGCACAGAGAAGTTCAAACCTTTACATACAAGCCAGGAGACAACTCACTGAGACACAGAGGAGTTCAAACCTTTACATACAAGCCAGGAGACAACTCCTTGAGGCACAGAGTTCAAACCTTTACATACAAGCCAGGAAACAACTCACTGAGACACAGAGAAGTTCAAACCTTTACATACAAGCCAGGAGACCACTCACTGAGACACAGAGGAGTTCAAACCTTTACATACAAGCCAGGAGACAACTCACTGAGACACAGAGGAGTTCAAACCTTTACATACAAGCCAGGAGACAACTCATTGAGACACAGAGAAGTTCAAACCTTTACATACAAGCCAGGAGACCACTCACTGAGGCACAGAGAAGTTCAAACCTTTAGATACAAGCCAGGAGACCACTCACTGAGACACAGAGTTCAAACCTTTACATACAAGCCAGGAGACCACTCACTGAGACACAGAGGAGTTGAAGCCTTAACATACAAGCCAGGAGACCACTCACTGAGGCACAGAGGAGTTCCAGCCTTAACATAAAAGTCAGGAGGGGCAAAACCGACAAACAGACAGACTGCACTGGAATAAGTTTATTTTGTACTGCAATCTTACTAAAATAAGTATAAGCTGCAACAGGATGGTTTCTTCCAAATGGCATTCATTAAATGCAATTTTTTTTTCTGCTTGTCTCTACTTTCAGATGTGCTTCAGAATATGGCATAGAACTTTCTAATGGAGATATCCTGAAAACATTTTATCTGGACTTAACAATGGCTGAGGTATAAACTTAATCGTAGATATCCTTTCAGAGGGCAGAGAGAAAGAGAGAGAGAGAGAGAGAGAGAGAGAGAGAGAGAGAGAGAGAGAGAGAGAGAGAGAGAGAGAGAGAGAGTAGGAGGGTAGAGAGATAAGTACATATATAATGACATATATAATATTTGTAATGTTTATTGTGTTTATACCTTTCCTTCTTTGCAGACGATAGTGTTGTACTGTGTCATAGAAAGAAATCAATTCGCAGTCAATGGCCATGTCGAGTGTGACTATATAGCAAGACACGATCGCTTTAAGATACATCTTCCAACAACAGCTTGAAGCTTTCAGTGATATCCAGAATAACTCTACAGCAAGCATAAAATAGATGCAATTAAGGAAACTGTTTACAAAACAGCTGTATCAGTCTATGGGATTAGAGAACACAGAAGTAAGGACTAGTGTGAAGCCAATAGTCAGACATTTAAACCTTTAATTGACATCAAAAAGGCAATACTCTTCAGAAACAAGGAAAGAACAAGGAACACTCTCAATGAATTGAAAGTAGGTAGAAATCGTTTGCTAAGGGTAGCTAGGCAGTGTGCCAATGACAACTGGATCGAGTTATGTGAAAGCATTCAAAATGCTAACAGTAGTGTTAATGTTAGAGGCATGTGTTCGGGGTTAAAGAAGCCTTTCGGACGTAGAAGAAGTAGCTAGATAAATGGGTGGAACATTATCTGGAGCTATACTCAGGTGATACTTAACTAACAGATGGTGCTCTTAATGCCGTGAAGACGCTACTAACTCTTGACTATCTGGACTCATTTCCAACAGTTGTAGAATTAAGGAATGCTATTGATGAATTGGCTTAGGGGGAAACCCCAGGCAGAGATGGAATTCCTGTTGAGATAATCAGGAGTACGAAAGACATTCTAACCCTACACATTCATCAGCTAATAACACTCTGCTGGCAAGATTTTAAAGATGCAAACATCACAACTATGTACGAAAAGGGTGATCGGAGTGACTGCAGTAACCACAGGGGAATATCACTGCTGTGTAGTGTCGGAAAAGTGTTTGCGAGAATTGTTCTGCGAAGACTCCAGATTCCGGGAGACTGGGTTTACTCAGGGTCTCAGTGTGGCTTTTGTCGCAACCGGTCTACAAGTGATACGATATTTTTATTCCGACAGTTAAAGGAAAAATGCCGCGAACAAAATCAACCACTGTGTGCTGCCTTTATTGATCTTACCAAGGCTTAGTCGAAAAGGTCTGTTCAACACACTGAAGAAGATTGGATTACCTTACTGATCCCTAATGTGAGCACCAGACCAAGCACCCATGTGAGCGAAAGATGTTTGTATTTCATGACCCTGATAACATCACAACATTAACATGTACCCAATAACTTCGACTAACGGAAACTAGCCAATTTTTCATCCGGCACTTGTACTACCCCAGTATTTGCATAAACCAACCGGCACTCGATAGATGATCTCCCCTCCATCTTGCCCATTATTTCTTCATTCAACTGCATGCAATAGCCAAGAACAGGACAACTCGATGTCAGCTGGTTGAGGGCCTATGCCACACTGACTGATACAGGGCAGAAGAAGAAATGACACATATCCTATGTTATTACTGTTTCAGTCATGTTGTATAAATGCTGTAGGAAACATAAATACCGATTTAATGCTCTTTCCCCTACAGGGTGCAGCATGGATGACATTTGTGTACTGGTCAATGATTGTAGCGCTGGAGTCTCTCATTCTCTGGAAAAATGAGACGATTGTGAACACTGCCAATCAAGTGCTCTCATTTGTTCGTAGGAAATAACAGAGAGAAGATCAAACTGTTGCAGACGCTAAACACTTACAATTGGAACCTGTATCTGTTGACTGAGTTATAATTTATTATGACCGAATTGTTTTGACTATATTTGTCACTATCTAAATCTGGACAGTGAACAAGCTCAAGCTTTCGGCACTGTTTTGTACACATGGATCATTGTTGTTATCGTTGTCTAGCCGTTGTTCCTGCTGTTAGAAATAAAACAGTATATGTGATTCTGTCGTCCGTCCATAACCTGGACTTGAAAATGAAGCAACAGAATTGCCACGAAACTGTCATATTAGTATGGCATACAAAAGCTACAGGCAGTGAGTAGGGAGTTGGGGGGGGGGGGGGCGAGTGGGGGAGGGGAGGGGCAAGATTATATGATGAAATTCAGACGATCAAGAAATATTTTTATCGCATGACTTTAAAATGTATTGTTTTTTGATACAGAACACTTTTACAGAGAGGATAGTTATATGGAGAGGATAGTTATACAGAGAGGATAGTTATTACAGAGAGGATAGTTATTACAGAGAGGATAGTTATACAGAGAGGATAGTTATACAGAGAGGATAGTTATACAGAGACAATAGTTATTACAGAGAGGATAGTTATACAGAGACGATAGTTATTACAGAGAGGATAGTTATTACAGAGAGGATAGTTATACAGAGAGGATAGTTATACAGAGAGGATAGTTATACAGAGAGGATAGTTATACAGAGAGGATAGTTATACAGAGAGGATAGTTATATGGAGAGGATAGTTATACAGAGAGGATAGTTATACAGAGAGGATAGTTATACAGAGAGGATAGTTATACAGAGAGGATAGTTATACAGAGAGGATAGTTATATGGAGAGGATAGTTATACAGAGAGGATAGTTATTACAGAGAGGATAGTTATACAGAGAGGATAGTTATACAGAGAGGATAGTTATTACAGAGACAATAGTTATATGGAGAGGATAGTTATACAGAGAGGATAGTTATTACAGAGAGGATACAGAGAGGATAGTTATACAGAGAGGATAGTTATTACAGAGAGGATAGTTATACAGAGAGGATAGTTATACAGAGAGGATAGTTATACAGAGAGGATAGTTATACAGAGA